TTCACAGGTGTTAAAGGTAAGTTGTTTGTCTTTATACACCTACGTCACTGGATGGATACACTGCTACAGAAATGCTTGTCCTTGGAAGTTAAAGGAAGAATTTTCTGTTAAAATTTGACGCCATTATTTACCTTTGCATTCATTTTTGGTACACATATGTATACATGCATTCAAATTTCAATTTTTCTTTTGTCTTTGTTTAAATTTAGATTTAATCACATTTAGAAAACTGAGCAAAAATAAAACAAAAACAAAAAAGCAATTGTGAAAATAGAAGGCTAGATTCTGTTGTGTTTCATTCCCTTGGGGAATACTGTTTTTGCATTTTATTTTGATAAGCAGTGCTCTAAAAAGGATCCCCTACTGACTTGCATCCTAATTATTATTGTTTTACACGAAGAAGGGAAATATGTCTTTAATTGAGTTTGTTTTTATGTATTCCCCTTTGTGTATGTTACCTAGATGGGTGTTTCATTATAAAAATGCTACATTATAGACTGCTTGTCCATTTTGCAGGAAACTAATCCACGATTTTGAAACAGTCTTCTTTAAGAGATTTAGATATCCTTGTTTTTAATAAAAATGCTTTCTGTTTCACTATGGCTCTGGAATCATCTTCTGAGAAGGGTGATTGAAGGGCTCAAAAAAGGCATGTACCTGAATACGTACACCTGAAATTCCAGCTGTGTTAATTTAGCCCATGAGCCACGTCTTAATCTGCGATGTTTGCCTGTGTGAGAAGGGTACCGGGACAACCCATATCACATATTTGAAGGTGACAAAAGGCTTTTAATTATTGAAATTTTCCAGATGTAAGACAGGTTGCAGCCAAATGCTGGGTTCCTGTGTCCATTGCTAATTGCTCAAATTTGCATGGGCAGTTACACAGGGGGATCACATCAACACAGGGCCGCTAGCCACACGGATGCCATACAATTACACAATGGCTTCAGTGCTTAAACTTGAAAATTTTTATGCCATTGTGCCTGTTCTGTTAGAACAAACTGCAGCAAATGATCCAGAACCCATTCAAATGACTGGAGAGGTGGTGCCTGGGGAGAAAGAAGGAAGAGGTGCAGTGTGGCCCACTACCGGCCAGCTGAAGCAATCGCCAGTGCTGGCAGCGGCAACCACAATCTTCTTTGTGCTTTGCAGTCTGCGGTTTTAACATGGGGTCAACAATACGAATCACCTAATTCACAGCAGGACTGTGAGGATTAATGAGGGAAGTTAAGTAAAACAAGGCCTGGCACTGAAAGTACAGCATAAACACAGGGGACTGGAACAACTCTTGGATGGTTGGTTGATTTTTTTTTAAATGCCAGTATGCACTCTTTGGCATTCTCTGCTAGTCTTTTTACACACCATAAAGCTGTTGTGCTCTCCTTGATAAGTCTAGACAATAGCACTGTAAATGCCAGTACAAGCTGCTTGATCAAAGCGAAGTATATGCAAGAAGGAAATCTAAGTAAATAATAATAAAGCTGGAACTACCAGAGAAATGGGAGTTCATAATGAGAAAACAAGTTACCTCCGTGAAAACATCAGTGTTCCCAAATGCAGATTCAGGATGCAGTCTTCCCCGAAGCCTCAAACCACTGAAAGGATGCTCCTAAAAGTCTACTGTGTTACCACTTAGATGCTCAATTATTCTTTCCTTACTTGTTCATGGGAGAGCAGGGTGTAGGGTGAGCATGCAAGAAAACGAAGCTTCTCCTGCCCCTGAGGGGAGTGGGGAGAGACCTAGACAATCTGAAGATTATCTGGAATCAAAGAAAAAATGAAAAACAACTGAAAGATGCTTTTGCAGAAAGACATCCTTTATGTGGAAGGTATCTAACCATTGCTATGGTTGAAATACAAATTAATTATGCTTTGCCAACAAGAGGCAGTCACTTTTTAGGGTAAATAAGATCCTTTAATACAATACATCTACCTCCCTTTATATAGAAAACTTCATCCTGAGTCCTATACCATTTTCCCAGTCCCTAATTCCTTTTTGCAAGTCATTAAATCAATTATCACAACCACCAAATGCTTTCCTGTTGCTTGAAATAGCATGATACACTTGCTTTTTTGATAGATGCTCCAGCATTTCAAGATTCTACTGCAAACAAAATGATCACCTGTGACATTTTACTATACTTTATGTTCATTCCATTCTAGAATTTCTGTCTTTAATCAAAAGGACTCTTTTAAACCGCCCCCCCCAAAAAAAAACTTATTCCCCAACTTCCTATCAGAGACTAAATAAAAGTCATTCAATCACAGCAGCCATGATGGTCATGCCAACTCCACAGCGTGATTTGTGCACTCATTTCCTTTTGAAAATGACCCTGCCTTCCATCTGTCCAAGCTGAATGTCCTACCTTTTTCAAGCCAGGCCTCTGGAGCAGCATCACGTGAAATAAGGAAAGAGCCCCAGGACAGCCTCCCTGTGGCCCTCTCCAATGCCACACTCCCAGACAGGTATCAGCCCCACTAAGCCTATAGCACTGAGAGCAATCTGGGGAGCTTACATAGTCCTTTTGCTTTTTCAAACATATTCTGGAAGCCATTTGAAGATAATTTTTGCAATACATATACAACTTTCCAAAACAGACTAAAAATATAAAAGGCAATTTCCTGGTTCCATTGTGGTCATCTTGCTTTAACAACAACTTGCTCAAGCTAACAATCTATCTGGAAGCGTTTTAAAGTACAAGCCTAAGTTCCCACTGGACAAGTTTCAGGCAGTCTACCATAAAAGCGAAAACACACACTCACCTTCGTCCACTTACACCCCTGGAAATAAGCCTCTGAAATGGTATAAGTAGAGATCAAACCAGAGGGACTTCAAAGTAGAAGTTTAGTAGTAGTACTCAGCTGCTTTCTGAGATTGACCTTGAAAGCCAAAGCCCCACTCAGTGTCTGTGAAGTTGGTACTGTGTCTCTTTGCTTGTATTAACCATTAAGCGGCTCACTGATCCCACCCACAAATTCACACGTTGTCAAATCCTGCCATGAGAGAAGATAGAGTATGTGCACAAAGTTAGTCATTTTACCATTTCAGCCATTACCAATTGACTAAGAGCTGTGTGACCCTCTCTAGTCACTTCTTAACATCTGTCCACAGCTGCCACCGAGGGCAGGAAGTTAAAAATGTATTGCAGACATCAAGTTAGACAGGTAACCTTCCCCCATACACACACTTTTCACAGAAGACCAACACCTACAGAATATACCTAGACCGAATTATTCATTAGCCATTATTTCCTAGGGAACCCAGTTGTGTATCATGACAGTACCTATCTAGGTACAGTTATGAAAAAAATTGCTTAAACATTTCAACCCTTCCAGCCCACAAGGTCTTCATGTGGAATGTGCAGATTACTGGGTGATTATTCTTATTAGAAATACCACATAATTAAGAATGCTAGAATTCCATAAAACATGATTGGTGTTGGCCTTGAAATTTATAAAATACTTAAGGGTATCGATACTACTGAAGAAACAAGACAAAAATTTGCACTGAAGTCTAGTTACATATTAAAGACATTATTTTATTAGGACTATCTTACTTCTAGGTGTTGTCAAGACCAATGAAGGTCATTGTTCCTTCTTGGTAGAGAAAAGTTGGAACACCAGGGTGGTGACCATAAACACATTTTTTTCTTTAAGTTGTACCTTATTGTGGCCAGCACAGTGGCTCAGGAGTCTCATCCTCTGCCCTGTGGCACTGGCATCCCATGTAAGTACCAAATCATGTCCACAGTGCTCAACTACCAATCCAGGTATTTGCTTAGGGCCTGGGAAAGCAATGGAGGCTGGCCCAACTGCTTGAGCCCTTGCACACCCACGTGGGAGACCAAGAAGAAGCTCCCAGATATGGATTGGTTCAGCTCCACGTGTTGTAGCCTTTGGGAAGTGAACAAATGGATGAAAGTCCTTCTCTATCCATCTGCTTTCTCTATGAACTCTGCCTTACAAATAAATTTGGTTCTTTTAAATTGCATTTTATTTATTGGAGAGCAGAGTTACAAAAACAGGGAGAGGAAAGAAAAAGCTCTTTCATCTGCTGGTTCAATTTATGCTACAATGACTGGGCTGGACCGTTCAGATCAGGAGACATCCTGATCCCCAGATGGCCAGGTCCCAAGTGCTTGGGACCATCTTATACTGTTTTCTCTGGTTCATTAAGAACAGGCGTGGATCTTAACTAAAGCAGCCAAAAACTGGCACCTGTTTGGGATGCTGGCTTTGCAGGCAGATGCTTGAAAACCTTGCACCACAACTCTTTAAGGACCAAACTATAAATCAGGAATTGTTACAGAAAGGGAAACAGATATTCAGATCTAAACTCATCCACTCTCACTTTCAGTTGCAACTGACTTTCTGTCCCTTCTAAACCTCTTGAAAATATTCAAAATGAGGATTCTTGGTGACTGCATTGTTCTCAGGGTTTAACAGAACCTATCCTAGTCTCAAAAGAATTACATGGACCTAGTGTCTTCCAACACATGCTTGCAACAAAACTACTTGCAACAACACTACTTGTATGAGCTGAACAGTGAGGTTCAACATACTAAGGGACATTGGTCCCAACATCTTACTCCATTGTGCTAGATACCAAAGTGCAAGAAAAGAAACAGCAGCTTTCATTATTAACTAAGAGCAAAAGCAAGTGACACCACTTTCTCTCAAAACCACAGAGTCCTTCGGACAGAGACTACATCTCCCAGCATACTGTGTGGCCAACCCCGAGGGGTGTCAGGATGTGGGCTCTGATGCTAGGAGTGAAGTACCAATCTCGGAACCATTGAGCAGTCTCCTCTCGTCCCTATGATGGCCACAACTTCACAATAACAACTTTACGAAGACAAAATGAGAAGATGACTCACTTCACTGATTCCCTTTTATTTCTATGGCATGCTAACACAGAAACGTAATCTTGGGACAGATTCCACTTCCGGTGGCCGCGTTGCCGCGGTAACGAGCCGACGCAACAATCTTCGCAGTTAATGGCAGGGTTGAACATCCCACAGGTCCCTGATGGGGAGTTCACGGCGGTCTTGTACCGGCTCATCCGGGATGCCCGGTACGCCGAGGCCGTGCAGCTGCTGGGCGGAGAGCTGCAGCGCTGCCCCAAGAGCCGCGCCGGCCTCTCCCTGCTGGGCTACTGCTACTACCGCCTGCAGGAGTTCGCGCTGGCCGCCGAGTGCTATGAGCAGCTCAGCCAGCTGCACCCAGAGCTCGAGCAGTACCGCCTGTACCAGGCCCAGGCCCTGTACAAGGCCTGCCTCTTCCCAGAGGCCACCCGGGTCGCCTTCCTCCTGCTGGACAACCCCACCTACCACAACCGGGTGCTCCGGCTGCAAGCTGCCATCAAGTACAGCGAGGGCGACCTGCCTGGCGCCAGGAGCCTGGTGGAGCAGCTGCTCAGTGGTGAGGGTGGAGAAGACGGGGGCGGAGAGAATGATCCCGATGGCCAGGTCAACCTGGGCTGTTTGCTCTACAAGGAGGGACAGTACGAAGCTGCGTCTTCCAAGTTCTTTGCTGCCCTGCAGGCCTCGGGCTATCGGCCTGACCTTTCCTACAACCTGGCCTTGGCTTATTACAGCAGCCGACAGTATGCCTCAGCCCTAAAACATATCGCCGACATTATTGAGCATGGCATCCGCCAGCACCCAGAGCTAGGTGTGGGCATGACCACTGAGGGCATTGATGTCCGCAGTGTTGGAAACACGTTAGTCCTGCACCAGACTGCCCTGGTGGAAGCCTTCAACCTCAAGGCAGCCATTGAATACCAGCTGAGAAACTATGAGGCTGCTCAGGAAGCCCTCACCGACATGCCCCCCAGGTCAGAGGAGGAGTTAGACCCTGTGACCTTGCACAACCAGGCACTAATGAACATGGATGCCAAGCCCACAGGAGGCTTTGAGAAGCTCCAGTTTTTGCTTCAACAGAACCCCTTCCCGCCAGAGACTTTCGGCAACCTGCTGCTGCTCTACTGTAAATACGAGTATTTTGACCTGGCTGCAGATGTCCTGGCAGAAAATGCCCATCTGACCTACAAGTTCCTCACGCCCTATCTCTTTGACTTTTTAGATGCCATGATCACTTGCCAGACAGCTCCCGATGAAGCCTTCGTTAAGCTAGACGGGCTGGCAGGGATGCTGACAGAGCAGCTCCGCAAACTCACCATACAAGTACAGGAAGCAAGACACAGCAGAGACGATGAAGGGATCAAAAAGGCAGTGAATGAGTACGACGACACCTTGGAGAAGTACATCCCCGTGCTGATGGCTCAGGCAAAAATCTACTGGAACCTTGAGAATTACTCGATGGTGGAGAAGATCTTCCGCAAATCTGTGGAGTTCTGTAACGACCACGACGTGTGGAAGCTGAATGTCGCTCATGTTCTGTTCATGCAGGAAAACAAGTACAAAGAAGCCATCGGGTTTTATGAGCCCATAGTCAAGAAGCATTACGATAACATCCTCAATGTCAGCGCTGTTGTATTAGCGAACCTGTGTGTTTCCTACATTATGACAAGTCAAAATGAGGAGGCTGAAGAGTTGATGAGGAAGATTGAGAAAGAGGAAGAGCAGCTCTCCTATGATGACCCAGATAAGAAAACCTACCATCTGTGCATTGTGAATCTGGTGATAGGAACACTGTATTGTGCCAAAGGAAATTACGATTTTGGCATTTCTCGAGTGATCAAAAGCTTAGAACCTTATAATAAAAAACTGGGCACTGATACCTGGTATTATGCTAAGAGATGTTTCTTGTCTTTGTTAGAAAACATGTCAAAACACATGATAGTGCCTTGTGACAGTGTCATTCAAGAATGTGTTCAGTTTCTAGAGAACTGTGAACTTTACGGTAGAAACATACCTGCTGTTATAGAACAACCCCTGGAAGAAGAAAGAATGCATATTGGAAAGAACACAGTCACATATGAATCCAGGCAGCTAAGAGCTTTGACTTATGAGATCATAGGCTGGAATACTTGGTAATAGCTGATACCAACCCACATCACAATGGTGTTGTTTTCTAGGCATTGGGCATCACTACACTGTAACTTCTTGAACATTAAAGCACTTTGGACATTTTTTTTTCTCAAAATCTCATGAAACAGTACAACTTGGACTCTAAAAATAACTTAGGACTAAAACCTCGATTGAGAGATTACATCAAACAATGTTTGTAATACATCTCCCTGTTCTTTACCTTGTTTTGTTTTATTACATATTGGGGCATTCAGCAAGATTATCTCAGGTCCAGGCACTATTAAATGCAGAACCTGGTCATGTATAGCACAACTAGTCTTTAATATGATTTCAAGCATTGTGTTCTACCGCAGTATCCTCATAATTACATTTAAGCCATATATTTTGCAAAAAATATATACAGTTTTACCAGCTTTCCAGTACAAATAAAACGCTTTCTCTAACAAATTCTTCATGTTCTGAGATTTTTGTTGAATAAACAAGACTCAGTGAAAAATTTTGCACTATAATTATGTTGCAGTAGGAGGAATACAGTAAACAATGGACAAATGTACATGGTTTTCATTTGCTCCATTTTAAGATGTTAAATATGTGAAAAATTATCTGTTGTTGTATAGTCTTTGCTAGGGATTACAGGTAACAACATAGTAGTTAGAAATTTATCTGGCCTTCATTAATTGTAATGGGTTAGCAGGGATGTGCCGCTGCCCGCTGATGTGAATTCCCAGACAAGTACAGGAAGCAAAATATAATGGAAATGATGAAGGAAGGTATCAAAGGGTAGTGAATGGTTAGGCATTTCACAGAACATTAAATCCCACTTGGAATACCCTTCTTCCATATTGGAGTTCTTAAGTCCAGTTTGCCTGCCAGTGTCTGGGAAGGCAGCAAGTGACAACTCAAGCAGCGAGGTGCCTGAAACCCACACGAGAGATCCACACTGAGTTTTCAACTCCTGGTCCCAGTTAGAATTGGTGATTATGAACAGGTGGGGATTGAAACAATAGACTGCTCATCATTCAACACTGTCTGTCTCTTCCCCTCCCTTCCTTCATTTTTGAAATGTTTTACCTTAAGAAAGTATAAGCTACATTTCAGCTTTAAACTACCCTTCATTGCAGTCTTATTGACAAGTTTAAACAATGTGTATTTTCCCCCAGTTACTCCTGACATAATTACAGTCTCCCCTGCCCCAGTAGGGGAGACCTCCAGCTTCCAGTCATTCATGGGGGACCATGTGAAATGAAGATGTAATGGAGATTTTTAGCTGTGTGATTTATTTCACAGTCTTTTGGATCCCCTTCATGTCCAAATCTGAGAAGGTAATTAGTCTGCCACAATAAGCAAGACAGAAAAAAATGGATAACTGAAGTAACAGATGCTGGAACTACCTCTGCAACTAGCACATCAAACTGCGTTATCACCAACTTCACACCATTTTTTTATTCAGTACAAGGGGAAGTCATGCAGATTTCTAGTAGGACAAAGTTGCACAGAACAGAAAGGCAGTCTCCAGTTTATAAGGCTTTCCCTTGCAATGTTTTCCTGCCTTCAAAAGGTCTAAGAGGTGGTGATGCTTACTGCTACTGAATATATCTCAAGAAATTAAAAGTCCACCTACGTTTCCAAACTCCCTGCCTCCCCTTTTTGATCTCCATTTTGTCAACTACTGGGGACACTTCTTTGATAGCTCTCATCAAAACCAGTTATAAATGATGACACCAACCTTTTAGCACAAAGTGCCTGTTGCCTGTGCTTGTCAAGGTGATTTCAGGAACCCTTTAAGCCATGCATATTTTGAGACAACATCTGTTGTTTAAAGTTATTCTTTACTACAAAAATAAAGCCAGAGGAAATCCTAAAAGGACTCATCCAAAGCACTGAACTTAGGTGATTTTTAAACTCCTTGACATCAATAGAAAAAAGGTAACAATTTAAAAATAAGTGCAATATTTGTATTATTTAAAATGTTTTGTGACGTGAGGAATTAGACTCAAGTCTAAAGGACACTGGCATTGAAATAGGGGTAGATACTAGCCAAAGATAATTCATCAGCTTGAGTATAATGTTTCATATGCTCTAGGGGAATTTACACTTCAATCCACTTGTAACTGAGGGCTTTTGATTAAGTAAATCAGCTTCCTTGAATTTTGGCTAAGACTGATTTGCAGCATACTGAAACCATTCCTATAATCATACGCATTAGAAAAGAGACTGTCTTCATTAAGATAGATTATTAGAAAGCATTCCTGTGTATGTTTTACATATGAAAGATAAGTACTTTTAGAAGAAGTAGGGCCTGCAATAACTTGACTACAAGTACTATTACACTGATGTAGCTTGACAGAAAGGACAAAAAAGAAAAAAAGAAAGAACTGAAACATTTGTCTCACTCATCTTCCTGTATACCTCCCCACCCTAGTTGGAGGTCCATGTGGCCACGTGTCTCAACTATGTAAGATATTTAGTGAAACTGTCAAAATTATTCTGGAATTAATCATGTGAATTATAAAGTGAAAAATCAGAAATGCACTTTTTACAACATTTGTAAGGTTTTTTTTTTTTTTACATTTTCAAATTATGAAGAGAAGCATCTGGAATATATCTGCAAGTAGAACCCGGACCAGGACGACTTGGATTAGTTCTACAATTGAGGCACAGAGAGACTAATAGGAGATTGGTAGTTATTTAACTTGCCTAAGACCAAAGGGTCAAATAGTTGGCAACACTGGGACTAGCATCCCAGGCTTCTAGCTCAGTTCCCTGCCCTTTCTCCTCCAACACATTCCTCCCTTCAGTTTTACTTGTTTGCCAAGTATCTCTCCCAGAGCTATGACTTTCTTCATTCCTGTTGTTGCTCATTACTTTATTGATGGATCAGTAAGTATTTTTTAACATACAAGAATATTTCAGAAAGGTTAATGGAATTTAAAAACGTGGGTCCGGCGCCGTGGCCTAGTGGCTAAGGTCCTCGCCTTGAATGCACCAGGATCCCATGTGGGAGCCGGTTCTAATCCCGGCAGCTCCACTTCCCTTCCAGCTCCCTGCTTGTGGCCTGGGACAGCAGTGGAGGATGGCCCAAAGCTTTGGGACCTTGCATCCACGTGGGATACTGGGAAGAAGTTTCTGGATCCTGGCTTCGGATCAGCATAGCATCGACCGTTATGGTCACTTGGGGAGTGAATCATCTGATGGAAGATCTTCCTCTCTGTCTCTCCTTCTCTCTGTATATCTGACTTTCCAATAAATAAATAAATGTTAAAAAAAAAAGGGGGGGGCCTGGCGGCGTGGCCTAGTGGCTAAAGTCCTCGCCTTGAACGCGCCAGGATCCCATATGGGCTCTGGTTCTAATCCTAGCAGCTCCACTTCCCTTCCAGCTCCCTGCTTGTGGCCTGGGAAAGCAGTCGAGGACAGCCCAAAGCTTTGGGACCCTGCACCCGCGTGGGAGACCCAGAAGAGTCTCCTGGCTTCGGATCGGCATAGCATCGGCCGTTGCGCTCGCTTGGGGAGTGAATCGTCGGACGGAAGATCTTTCTCTCTGTCTCTCCTCCTCTCTGTATATCTGACTTTCCAATAAAAATAAATAAATCTTTAAAAAAAAAAAAGTTTACCTTGGAGCCAAAAAAAAAAATTGAAAGCTATACACAATGAAGGTTCTATAAGAAGTTCATAGAAATGTATCTTACCAAAAAAAATTGCATGGATTTCAAACTTTTTGCACCAAAATGTCTAATTCAGTTTTCCCTTGAACATGTCTAAGTTCCTTCATACACCTATTATCACAATCCTGGAATGATCTAGTTGACATTATAGTTTCCAAAACTGTGCTGTAAGGTCTTGGGTGGACATCACTGCATATGTTTCGCAATGGGCACAGGGTTAGCCGCTGTACAATCTGGGATGGGCACAAAATGATTTGACCCATCTATTGTTTCATCATCTCTTTTTAAGAGATGCTTCTTATGGTCATTTTTCAAATGAGTGATTCTTCTTCTCTCATTATAATGTCTAGGCACCAAATGCATGAAAATGGCTGTCAGGTTTCTCTGCAGCTCAGGTGCAAAGGGCTGTGAGACACTTATCCAAAAACCACAGCAGAGAGCCAGTGGATTCCACAGATTTTTATAGAGTGTTACCAGAGACTTCTAAGGCTCCATAAAGCTTTACTTTCACTTGCAAAATCCCTTTGAGCCAAGCTCAAAAAATGCTTATCCTCATTTCAGGAGTTGGTTGCTCATTTTAGCAAGCAGAGAGAAAGAAAACAAATGAAATCTCCTTTGTCTATTTTCCTTTCCCCGTTTGTACAAATAAGTCTCAGGTCTCTACATGAGAATCAGCTGGTCAACTCAGGAAAGCAGAAATGCCTGGGCATTAACCCATAAAGATTCTTTTTCTCCTTAAGGTTCTTTTTTGATTTATGGAGATTGGAGTAGGAAGCAGGGTCCATCTTTGAAGTCTCTCCAGGCGATGCCAGTGTGAAGTGGAAGCTGAGAAATATTGCTTACAAGTAATACAATGTGGAGAGTGGTGGGATGCAGCTTGAGAATGAAAGAACAATGATGCCCAGCCTAAAGAAATTGTGAAAAAGAAACAAATGTTAGCAAATGAAAGGATGGGAAATTTTTAAAGGTATTCCAATGAAGGTATTCTAGCTTATCCACATAACACTTTTTAACCAGTGAAACTTCTTTAAATTACTTTCTAAACGTTTATGTTTTTATCTGAAGGGCAGAGAGACAGTGCCCATCTGCTGATTCACCTCCCAAATGTCCACACCAGCTGGGGCTGTGCCAGGTAGAAGCTGTCAGCAGGAAACTCAGCCCAGTCTCCCACATGGCTGCCGAGGACCAGCACTGCCCCCCACCAGCCCTACCATCCCCAACCCCCCGCCATCCCCACTCCCCTTAAGCTATCCACTGCTGCCTCCTGAAGTCTTCAGAAGTATTCCCATATGGGATGAGAGTGCTTTAACTAGTATTTAATTCATTAGGCCAAATACCACAAGTAAAGTATTTTTAAATGTATTCGAGAGACACAGAGAGAGAGAGAGAGCAAACCTGCACACTCCTATCTACTATTTCATGTGAACTAGTTCTCACCAAGGCATGAGATTTTTTTTTTCCTGGAAGGCTGCTGGGGAAACTTTCTGTATTCCTCTTTAAGAAAATAAATGAATAAGCCCTAGCTCCGTAGCCTAGTGACTAAAGTCCTCGTCTTGCATGTGCCAGGATGCCATGTGGGCACCAGTTCATGTCCTGGTGGCCCCACTTCCCAACCAGAAACCTGTTTGTGGCCTATGAAAGCAGTCGAGGATGGCCCAATGCCTTGAGACCCTGCACCCATGTGGGAGACTCAGAAGAAGCTCCTGGCTCCTGGCTTCGGATCAGCTCAGCTCTGGCCAGTGAGTCTACTTGGGGAGTGAATC